GAGAGAGAGAGAGAGAGAGAGAGAGAGAGAGAGAGAGAGAGAGAGAGAGAGAGAGAGAGAGAGAGAGAGAGAGAGAGAGAGGCATACTTTTGGTGGGAATCCCCCGACTGAGGGCTCCGAGCTGTTTTGCCGCATTCTTGACATGGCTTGACTGTCGGAGATCCATCATCCCCAACGAAGAAGGAGCCAGAACACGTTGCAGGGGAAAGCTGCAAGTTCCTTCTTGATAGTTGGTTATGTTGCAAGAAAACCAGGCATAAACAGATGTGTTTCCTCCTTCGACTTCTATTGGCTCAGTGGTGTTCGCGTTCTGATAAAAGTATGCAGATATGTGCTCATTCCTCTGAGTATTGCTTGCACTTCCCTCTCCTTCGTCGTCGCTCTCCGTCGAGAGATGTTCTGCCGCCACCGGAAGTTTATCCGATTCGTCGTCCAATTTGTCGTCTTCTGAAGTTGATGAGTCCTTCTCACCTGCCTTGTTATGCCTCATTGCATTGCTTGAGGCTCCTCCATTTGCCTGCAATGGAGACTGGTGAGCACCTGCTGTGCCACAGTTGCTGCAACTCAGTTCATTAAGCTGAGCATCCCGACGGTAGAAGAACCCTGGCCCTGAAATGGTCTGAATCCCCATCGAAAGAAGATTGGGGGAATTTTTAAAAATCGCCCATGCGATTCCTTGGGTCACCTGAACAGACCGGAAGGGAAGAAAGGGGGAGAGGGATAGGAAGGAGGGGTGGGGGTGAGGAAAGACAGGAAGGGGCCGATAAAGCACCAGTCACGTTAAAAACAAAGTATTTCGTACTATTTCCCTAAGTTAAAACAGGAGAAAAAAGAGGCCACAAACTCAAAATGCCATAGAAAAAGGTGTATTGAAATGGGAACATAGCTGAAATAATGGACAGAAAATTGGTGTGGCCCCCCCTCATTCAAGGATGATGGACACATTGATAAAGAGCTTCCACGAAGTACGGAGTGCAATGCATACATGATAGCAACACGACCACTTTCCATAAGTCCTAGTGGTTGTACTATGCACTCCATAACATTTTAAACCACTACTGCACCGCTTCTCTTTCCGGAGCTGCACCGGCCTTTGGCCTGCTGGCCCATTGAGCACGCAGTTCCAGGTACCAGGCCGGACCTTATGATTGCTGTCCTGTTCAGAGTTGCAGAAAAGAGAGGCTTGTGAATTCAGTCTTGGGCGCAGTGGCGGTTTTTTTTTTTTTTTTTTTTTTTTTTTTTTCTCTATTATAGGCTCAATCCAATATTTACGATGTTCCGTCTAGCGTGGGTGAATGATAGTCACAGACCGTTTTGTTGGAGGTTTACCAGCAGCTGTTATGTGACTAATCGAAAAGAAGTCCACATCCAACTCCCTCGTTCCCATGCACAAATGCAATTGTGAAGCAGACTTGGAGAGAGAGAATCCACACCAAACCATTGATGAGCGCAAAAGCTCCCAATCCATATGAGAATTGAATTAAGATAAATTCCTCTAGAGTACCTCCTCTCCCCAACTCAGTCAACCCATCTTCCAATGAGAATCACAACAGCGTTTCAACAATCACCAGCAAATTAAAACGAAGTTCCATCGGATTAATAATGGAGTCTCCACCGAGCCCTAGCTATGGAGCAACTTACTTCCAGTGCCCCACAGCGCCCCAAACCATACAACCTGCAGATCGCCACGGCGCCACATGGCCCTCCTGAATCCAACAACAACTCGCTTTGGTGCAACTACTTCCAGTGCCCCAAACCATACAGCCTGCCTCCTGAATAGAACAACCAATCTGCACCATTTGAAAAGCCCAATTGCAGATGAGGTGTCCACTTAGCAGGGGGAGTGCAGCTCCCAGGATGTTGAAGGAGAACAACTTTGATGAAGAAGAAAATAAACTGCTGCTATGGAAGCAGCGTCAAAGCCCAACTGCTCAGCATATGAAGATCATCAAAGCGTCGGACGCCAAGCGTCAACGCTGCGCTTATGCCAGGAGGAACTGTGAGTCTCAGTCCACCTTAGCCCCGGTTAAGGTTGAGCATCAACAACTCCCCCACAGCTGATATCCTGGGGTGGGCACCAACCACCTTCATTTTTTGTCACAGGTACGCTAGGGGGCAGTGGTTTGTGCCAGCCTGCAGCTGCCATTGGTGTTAAACCACCAAAACACCCGGGCCTGGAGGCACAGGTGGTTAACTGCGACCCCCACGGGGTCAAAGTTTTTGTTTTTTATTTCTGTTTTTCTTTGACTTTTTTTTTTTTCCCCTTTCTTTCTTCATTGAGTCCCATCATCTGGATTCTAACCTGGGTCTGTATTTCAACAGTTCATGGGTGTAGGTGTACCCACTGCGCTGGGCTCTTGGGTGCCTGTTTTTTTGTTTTGGTTCAAGGTTGCTGGTTTTTTTTTTTTTTTTTGACTCTTTTTGTTTTGGTTCAAGGTTGCTGTGTGCCAAATTTGGTCTCATTCGAAGCATTGGAAATTTCCCTGCTGAGATTTCTGAAATCTCCTCGCCCAGCTATGCAGTCCGAACCTAGGCGTACCGGTATGCCGAGCCTGCCGAGCGTGGAGGTACCAGTAGCAGGACACGTTGAACCTTGAAGAACCATTAGCAAAAAAGAAAAAGAAAAAGAAAAAAGGAAAGCAACAACTCTCGGGACGCGAATGCAGTTGGATACATTCGGGGAGGTGCTAGTGTGAGCATGCCCTCAATGAGAGCGTCTCAGCTCCCCCGCTCTTGTTGTCAGAAGCACAAAAGTAAAAGATAACAAAAAAAAAGGGGATGCCGCTTTTGCCCTGAAATCGGACAGATACATTCGCCGAAGTGCCAGCAGATCACGGAAACTGCCCTTCCTAGCTGGGGGGGCGACTACTCAAAAAGGAAAAGAATCAAGACAACAAAAAAAACAGAGTCGCGAATCTTCCTGTGAAATTTTGTTATAAAATGGATTAAAAAGCTCATCTCCGTCCCCCAAAGTCCATGATGCGCTTTAACTCTAGAACACCTGGCCCGACTAGCCCCGACAACCCTCCAAACGATTCACCCGCTGACATGGCTGGAGGACCGTTTCTGGACGATCCCACGTAAGTTTCCTCAAGGAAGGGAGGCGCTGGATGGCGGTGGTCAGACGGTGGACAATTTTTGGCCATCTCTGCTGGAAACCTGGCATAGACTTCCACTCCCAGACAGGACCCACCCCATCCGTTGGGAGGAGGTCTACTGACAACCCCTCTTTGGAAATCGATGGGTGACAGACCTGAGAGGCTGCGTCATGATAAGTTCATCCCCTCCCTGGAAAAGTTGGGTTACACGAGGGGTGCTTAGGGTTGGGGATCTATGGGACAATGAGAGACAAGATTGGGTTACAGGAGATCAGTTGCGGGAAACCTTGCGGTACTGCCACCACATAGAGGAACTTTTGGATAACCTGATCGAAGCCAGTCCACTGGCGTGGTACCGAGTTTTTAAACGAGGTCCCACTTTGCGAGTAGGTGATTGGGTAGCAAGTACGGAGACCCCACCGAGGATGAGCTAGATACATATGGCCTCACCCAAAACAGTCCTGGTCGAACACTACACTACCACCAGAACAGGCACCCTTCAGAGGAATAGAGCCCCCTTCGAATGGAAAGAGAAAACATTTGTGTACCGGGTGAGAGTTATAGAGGAGAAGGGACAAAGGGTGGTGTTCCAGCCATTCAAACCAATCCATATCTAGCTCTGGATCCAGTAGAATGGACATGGAAGCCCCCCCAGAAGAGGAGAGGCCCCAAAGACAGTCACATAAGCCCGCTCCAACCGACGGTCAATTCAACCTATAAAATGCTTTGACCTAAACGACGCCTGAGGGACACCATCAACGACGATGGGCCACACACCTAAATGTGGAGCGCACCCTCCTGACACCGATTCAATGGTTCAAGGAACAGAAATCGAAACCCATGAAAATTACCTCCCTACAGTGGCAGATTGCCCATCGCTGTTTGCCAACTAATGACTGGTTGTCTAACCGCACTAACCTAGAACAAAGAGGTCTTCTACTTCCATGGTGCCAGTGGTGCCAGAGTCTTTTCCCTTTCCACAAGAAGGTGGACACCATCAAACATAATTTCATGCAATGCCCGATCGCCCAATTCATATGGAGATGGTGGGACGGCATACGGAGGAAAATGGAATCTGACATCCCCTGACCCTGGTCATGGCAAGCCATACTGGCCGGCCATTGGCCGCCGCCAGGAGCAGCAAGGCCCTTCGTGGAAAATATGTACAGACTGGGAAGGAGGGCGGTGATATGGGCTCTCTGATGGTAGAGGTGCACCATCATGATGGTCATGGAGAAGGTGAGGGTAGAAGGGTCAGAAATCACAAAAGAGATTCAGCAGCACGTGCACCTCGAACTCGTACAAAGATGGTCGGACACAAAAACAAAATTAGACCTTTTTAGACAAGTCGGGGATGTTAGGAGACGGATTACAACTTTTTGCACAGATTGGGTAGGAGGGGAGAGAGAAGGATGGATTGCAGAAGTGGAATGGAGTGGAGACAGGGGAGAGGGACAGCGGGATTCAGACGAAATGAGAGACTACCGCCTAGTTTTTAAAGATTGGACAAACATTGAACCCTCGTTCCCACTACGCCCTCCCTCGGACTTCCTAGACCCCTTCCCACCTCACGCCCTTTCCCTGACAGAGATTACGTCCTGAATATTCATATCCGCATACATTTGCATACACACATATATACATATTAAATATGCTCATGTATGGAACTCCCCCCTGGGTCGCCAGGGTCAGTGCTCTTTCCTTTTGATTGGGGAAGTTAATGCTGGCAGTCTGAGTGACCTGTGTTAATAATAAGGGAGACTCAGTGTCAAATGTCAAAAAAGAGCGACGAAGGGAGGTTCCACTGATGCCCCCCAGTGGCTTCTTCTGGTTCTTTTTCTTGGCACCCAGGCAGATTATGGGACGTTGGACCCGGTTTCCAGCTAGCATGGCTTCAAAATGGCATAGGGGAAGAGAGGAACTAGTGTGTAGCGAAGTATCGGACTCCAGATTTAGGATGAAGAGGTCCCCCCTTCCTCCCCACAGCCTGCTCAGTTAATCCCCTGGATCCCAGGGTAATCAATGCTGGCAGGAATACCCCACAATTGTTTGTTTTTTATGTATCCAAGTTCATTCTGTATAAGGGATGCTGGACCCGCTTTCCAGTTGGTGATGCTTCCCACCAATAAATGGAGCCTCTCCCCAGGTGCTAGTGCTGTCTGCCCGTATGAGCACCACTAACACTGGTGGGAGAGTGTTTAAAAAACAAAAAAAAGGCCCGACAACAAAAGTATCTTTTTTTTTCTTTTTGTTTCTTCTCATTTTCCCCCTTACAACGGGCGACTGGTTCCTCAGTGCCCCGACCCCCGTCTGACACAGCGCGTTAACGGCCGCGTTGGAGAAAACAAGTTGGACGAGGTATTGTTGGGGTTTAACCGGACGTCCGGATCCTGATCTAGACAGTCCGGGTCTGATGTCCGGGTTCGGTGTCCGATTTGGAGGGTCCGGTTGGACCCCATTTTGAAGAAATTCCGAATTTTTTTTGGGGGTCCCCAGGCGATTTTCCCGTGACTGGGGGACCCCCAAATATTGTTGCCGTAGTTTTTTGAACCGTCGGGCCAACCTGACTGGCCCTGAAGGGCCTGCA